CACACGCAGACTGCCAGGAAAACACACAACCCCACACACCCACACATTCTGCACACGGTCCAATGATTCAGACTCCGGTGTCGGCTACTTTGCAGCTGCCAACGCCATCAACATTTCACGCTGTAAGACACCCTACCACTTGTACACTGAAGAAAAAAAGGAATTGGAATTTATATCAAATGTGGCTTATGAACCCTCCGCTTTGGCTAAAGCAAATTAATTTATGTACTTTCCCTGCTAATGTGAATGCAATGCCAACTTGTCAAGGCTCTAAATACCTTTAGCGTAATTATATATTTACGTTTAAAGTAAATACCAAATTGTCTTTTTTGTATGGGGAAGTACTTTAAGAGTACTCTTTTTATGTTCTGTTACTATCCTGCAATAGAATATATTTTAGCAATTTTGTATAGTATTTTGCAGTCCCCCAATTTTTCTTCCGTGCACTTGGACTTGCAATTTTTCCGCCTCCGTTTCACCTAACTGCCATCACCTGCAGTCGACCCCGGGTAACATTTTTTATGCGTCCTATTTGCAGCTTTCATGCTTCGACTGCGTATTTCAGCCGCCGGCATTTGAACGACGTCGCGAATGCAAGTTTTTGCCCTTTCTGCAAAAATATTAGGGCTGGAGAGGGGCGTAAAAAATAGCAGGGATAGGAAAAGGAGTGTTAACCGAGGCACCGAGGCTACTGGGTGTTCATAAGCTTTTTTTTAGGGGTAAATAACCCAAACTGAAGTGCAGAAAGGCTGGTGAAATTTGAATGCATAACCTAAAATAGACAAAAAAATACCTCCACTGAAAAATTCAATAAAATCAGAGAGCAATCCTTAAAATGAAAAATGTGATCATGGAAAAGGCTTGTAATTTTATAAATTGTATATGGGTTGTAGAAAAATGGTACCAAGTTATTGCATCTTATAAAACTCTTATTTAATTACTGGTATTACTTCAAGACTAATAGAATCTAAATTAAATACATTAAAGCTGAATATAAGCATATTCAAAATCAATGCTTAATTAAAAAATGTATTGCAAACAGTGTAAAGGAAGAGTGTTGAAAATAAAAAACGTAAACCGAAAACGGTTTAAAAAAGAATGAAAACCGATGCTTTCGTGTGCAAACAAGTGCAACTAGGTATGGGTGTGTTTAGAGTGTGTGCTTGGGTTTGGGTGTTTGGTGTGTCTGTTTGCATGCATGGTGTTGTGTGTGTGTATCTATTTGTAAAGTTTCTTTGGCCAAAAGCAAGCATTTGCTAGTTGCACTTCTTTTAATATACTTTTGCAGGGTATTAGTAGTTTATTCAGGAGCTTGCAACTCAGTACAGGTGGCAATTTTTAACCTATAAGTCAAATATATTTTAGATCAGCTTCAATAACCAATTCTATCTTGCTTTGTCCGCTAGAAATAAAATTATACCAGTTTTAGCAAGATTTTGGGCTGTTTACCTAACAAAATTTCAATTTAGATTTTAATAAGGGTATACGAACTTCGATCTCCGGACTTTACCTTTTATTCTTGTTTTAGCATATTTTGCTCTTACTAAACTACAGGAGGTGCTACATTCATACTCTGCCTTAAAGCGAGTTTTTTGGTTTGAACACTATACAATTCCAAACAAAATTGGAAAATACCAATAAAAAACTATTCACTAAAACCTCATTTTATTTTATCTCCTAAGCTCATTTTCTATACCTATATATCCAAGTTTAGAGAAATAGTTTATTTCATTTGTTCGGAACAAAAGTAAGTTTTTAAATCTTAAAAATAGATTTTTAAAATTAAAACTGTCTTAAAACAGTCTTTGCTCATTTTAAAGGAAATCGAATCTTCTACTAGAAATGACCACATTTACTATGGTTTTCTTTTGTTTTCTGCAGCGTCGCCGGCAGTTTTTACAAAAAAGGGACCTGTCCTGACACCCCCTTCCCGTACCACGCCCCCACCAGGGAAGACCCGCTCACACTTCGCAGCAGCAGAAACGAGCAGCAACGGTAGCATAAATTTCCATTACCGTTGACAAATATTTACACATCGACCTCAATTCATATTCCTTTTGAAGCTGTTGCTTTTAGTTTTGCCAGTCGGATGTTGGGCTGGCGAGGGGGGGTTGGGATTGAAGCGGGGAGGCTGAGGGGGTTGGGGATCCTTTATGCACTTTGTTCTTGTTGTTGTTGTCACTACGCTGCCACCATAGCAATTGCTACCGGCTATTAAAAGCTGCATTTAGCAGCTTGCTCGCTTTACATCTCTCTAAACGCCATCTAGGTGCATATATCAATGCACTGAGAAAAATTGAAACCTAAATCGGACTTTAAGCTAAATTCTTTCATAGGGCCAGTATATATTATGCCTTTAAAATAAGTAAACCGTGTAATTCGAATTATTATAACTTTGTTTTCAGTTATAATTTTTATCAAGAATATATATGTTTTAAAGGGTCGTAAATGACTCATTCCCTGCGTCGCAAGCATCTGAATGAAATTATAATACTCTGCAAGGGTATAAATATTCTTATTCTTGCTATATAAAGTTTTGAATAACCAAAAATTGATTTCATTGATATAATCACCTAACACAGAAATATACCCCTTTTACCCTACCAATTCTTGCCCAGGCTAAAAGCCGTTATGTTTATTATGCCGGACTGCTGCGGATGCTGTACCTTTTGTCTTGCTCTCTGTTAGTAGGAACGCCACGAATAATTCCCCCCACACAGCACCTCTCGCTTTCCATTTCCCCGTGATTTTGGACCGATCATTACGTGTGTTTCAGAAAAAAGAAGAATTTCTCCTTACCTTAAATTATTGTCGTACAGTCTTCCTTCCACAATATTACGGTTTCCAGATTTTTCCACATAGATTCGAAAGTAGTAGGCAGATGTTTTTTATACAACACTCGCGAGACGACTATTATTTTCATATTTATTCACTGATTAATTGTTAGCAATACCCGTACAATCGATTTATTTATGCAGACTCGCGTTATAACACTTCACTTGTTCACTTCCAAAGATCGTTTGACAAGATAAGACAGCTGCAGAGCAAGGTGAAGGTGGAAACAAGAGCTTAAGCCGTTACATTAACTCGATGAGCGGGAGAGCGCAAGCTCAGCCTATATAAGGTGGTCTTCTCAGCTCACAACATTTTCAGGGCGCTGGAAAGAGAACAAAAGATATCAGATATGGAGATAAGACCACCTTGCTTAGTTCGACAATAATGAGTGATAAGCGGAAGAGTGATTAGAGCGAAAGAACGCGGGAGTGACTTGAGTGAAAATGCAAAGAGAGCGAGCAAAGCAGCTACTTATGGAGCAACTGCAATGAAAATACACTGAAAACAAGAAAGGAAACTTACTTTGGGAAGCCAAAGTTTATATATCCCCAAATAATAAATCTTAATAAATCTGCATACTCAGATTAAAACGTAAAAATTGTCAAATTGTTGAGCATTTTTAAAAAATTCTTTAAAATGTAATTGGATTCTAAAAAATGTTGAAAAAATTGGCCAAAAATAAATTTCTTTCCTAAATGCCCAGGAAGATTCGCCTGTTCACCCTGATCAAGAATATATATGGATTATAGGGTCGGAAATGACTCCATCACTGCGTGGGACGCTTTAGACTGAAATTATAATACCCTGCTGTGTATAAATATTCTAATTCTTTATCATATATTTATATGACATTTTATTCTACAAACCAAAACTTTGAAAACCCATAGCTCAGCCAAAAATGCATTAATTTTGATACGGTAGTCAGTGCTGTGCTAGTTTCTAACAGGTTAATTAATCTGCATACTCAGATTGACACATAAAAATTGTCAAATTTTTGACCATATTTTAAAATTCTTTAAGATGTAATTAGACCCTAAAAAAATGTTGAAAAAATTGGCCAAAAAAAAAGTTTTGAAAAATGATTAAGATGCAACAAATAACATTTAAACAAGAAAGGAAACTAACTTCGGGAAGCCGAAGTTGAAATACCCTTGCACCTTGCAAATAAGCTATAGAATCGAATACTAATACGAGCAACGACTTAATCAGCATTTATTGTAATAATTTGGGCAAGAGTATATCCATATATCCGTAAAATATATATAAAAATAATATAAATAATGTAATGTAATGTAAATAATATTAAAAACAAAATAATTAAAGGGATTTCATTTTTTTTCATTGCTATTTACAAATAACTTCCACCCACTAGGACTTACAGTCCACAACTTCCTGGATCAACATCCCGTGAGAGAGAGCTTTTCGTTTGATTACATCATTACAGTCTACCCATGTGTATCTTAATCCGGGATGAACTTTCCGTAAGAGAGCGCTTTTCAATTGTTTACATCTAATTTGGAGACCACCCATATGTATTTTAATCCGGGATCAACTTTCCGTGAGAGACCGCTTTTCGTTAGTTTAAATCTAATTTGGAGACCACACATAGATATCTTAATCCGGGATCGACTTCCCGTGAGAGAGCGCTTTTCGTTAGTTTAAATCTAAAATGGGATCTACTTGCATTTTGTGTTCTAGGGGAAATATCAGAGACACAAACCATAATGGTGAATCGTAAGGAACATATAGGAGGTGGGTAGAAAATGCTCTTCACATAATATTGCTACACAGAAATAAAATAAAGAAAAATAAAAGAGATCGTCACTCACTTTGTTATTTTTTGCTGGAATTTGTAACTGAGAAAGCGTTTTTCCTCTGCCTCTTTGCAATTTTTCATTTCAGAAATTTTCACAAAAAATATGCACCTTAAGAAAATCTCAAAAAAATGCTCAATAATATCACAAAGAAATGAAGAATGAAAGAAAAGAAAAAAATTAAGAAAAGAAGGCTTTTCCCTTGCTTCGCTTTTCTTCCTTCTTATTTTCCTTCCTTTCCTTTTCCATGAAACAGCTTTACCGATCGATGGAAGGAGATGCACACAAAAGCGAGCCACAAAATAGCGGGACTTTAAATCACTTGCCCATTTCGTTCTTTCACTCTCTCACGTCTCCTTCATTCTCTCCCGCTCGACAGATACCGAAAATTGCGAATTGGAGTCATGAGTCATCACTCAGGCATTCTTGCTCTCTCCTCTCTCTATCTTTCCCTCGCACGCTGCGACATTTTAATGGCGATCTTTGGCGTTGTGTATGTACGTATTGAAGGATACATATTATTTAGCACTAATTAAACACTTGTGCTACACTAAAAGTCCGCGGAGCTGCTAATTTTGTTTAATTGTTATTACACTTTACTTATGTATGAGTTGTGTACTTCATTAATGGAGCTGCGAACGCACCAACTCCTTCGATCCTAATTGCCCATTAAGATTTCGTTGATACACACCGGTTGTGTTATCCAATTGGATTAATAGGTTGTTCCACTTGTTTCACTCGCGTTTAATTAACAATTTTATCAGTTTTTACCAGCTAACTTGGTTTTTTCCGCACGTTTTTAGTCCGTAAATTTTCCGTGGCCATTACGCTGCCGTGAATTTACGATTATGGTATTGGTATATCGATGCTTGTATTCTTAGGGAGTATCGTTAAAGGAGTTGAGTATCGATATATCAGTGTCAACTTCCCGTGAGAGAGCGCTTTTCGTTTGATTACATCTAATTTGAAGTCTACGCACGTGTATTTTAACCTGCGATCAACTTTCCGTAAGAGAGCGCTTTTCCATTGTTTACATCTAATTTGGAGACCACCCATATGTATTTTAATCCGGGATCAACTTTCCGTGAGAGAGCGCTTTTCGTTAGTTTAAATCTAATTTGGAGACCACACATAGATATCTTTATCCGGGATCGACTTCCCGTGAGAGAGCGCTTTTCGTTAGTTTAAATCTAAAATGGGATCTACTTGCATTTTGTTTTCTAGGGGAAATATCAGAGACACAAACCATAATGGTGAATCGTAAGGAACATAAAGGAGGTGGGTAGAAAATGCTCTTCACATAATATTGCTACACAGAAATAAAATAAAGAAAAATAAAAGAGATCGTCACTCACTTTGTTATTTTTTGCTGGAATTTGTAACTGAGAAAGCGTTTTTCCTCTGCCTTTTTGCAATTCCTTACCACCTTAAGAAAATCTCAAACAAATGTTTAATATTATCACAAATAAATGAACCACAGAAAAATCACAAAAAAAAAAAACAAAATATGCACATACACATGTATATATGCATATATGCAAGTGTTGAACCACCGAAAAAAAATTAAGAAAAGAAGGCTTTTCCCTTGCTTCGCTTTTCTTCCTTCTTATTTTCCTTCCTTTCCTTTTCCATGAAACAGCTTTACCGATCGATAGAAGGAGATGCACACAAAAGCGAGCCACAAAATAGCGGGACTTTAAATCACTTGCCCATTTCGTTCTTTCACTCTCTCACGTCTCCTTCATTCTCTCCCGCTCGACAGATACCGAAAATTACGAATTGGAGTCATGAGTCATCACTCAGGCATTCTTGCTCTCTCCTCTCTCTATCTTTCCCTCGCACGCTGCGACATTTTAATGGCGATCTTTGGCGTTGTGTATGTACGTATTGAAGGATACATATTATTTAGCACTAATTAAACACTTGTGCTACACTAAAAGTCCGCGGAGCTGCTAATTTTGTTTAATTGTTATTGCACTTTACTTATGTATGAGTTGTGTACTTCATTAATGGAGCTGCGAACGCACCAACTCCTTCGATCCTAATTGCCCATTAAGATTTCGTTGATACACACCGGTTGTGTTATCCAATTGGATTAATAGGTTGTTCCACTTGTTTCACTCGCGTTTAATTAACAATTTTATCAGTTTTTACCAGCTAACTTGGTTTTTTTCCGCACGTTTTTAGTCCGCAAATTTTCCGTGGCCATTACGCTGCCGTGAATTTACGATTATGGTATTGGTATATCGATGCTTGTATTCTTAGGGAGTATCGTTAAAGGAGTTGAGTATCGATATATCAGTGTCAACTTCCCGTGAGAGAGCGCTTTTCGTTTGATTACATCTAATTTGCAGTTTACGAATGTGTATTTTAACCCGCGATCAACTTTCCGTAAGAGAGCGCTTTTCCATTGTTTACATCTAATTTGGAGACCACCCACATGTTTTTTAATCCGGGATCGCCTTCCCGTGAGAGAGCGCTTTTCTTTAGTTTAAATCTAATTTGGAGACCACCCACATAGGTACCTTAATCCGGGATCGACTTCCCGTGAGAGAGCGCTTTTCAATTGTTTACATCTATTTTGGAGACCACACATAAGTATCTTAATCCGTAAGAGAGCGCTTTTCGTTTCTCTACATATAAATTGCCGACCACACATACATACGTACCCAATTACGCGATCTACTTGCATTTCGTTTTCAAGGGGAAATATCAGAGACACAAACCATAATGGGGTATCGCAATGAACATAAAGGACGTCGGGAGAAAATGCTCTTCACTCAATATTACACAGAAATACAAGAAAGGAAGCTAACTTCGGCACGCCGAAGTTTATATACCCTTGCAGATAGAAATTCTATGACTAGGAATGCACACAATATAAATTATATATATTTGTGTTAAAAAACATTCATTCATTTCTTTTATTTCATTCACCTATACATATTATATTCGCAGTTTTACATTCACAGATTTGCCTTTTTCCTCTATAGTACATAAAATGGCTATATCTTTCATGAAATCCTGTTGAAAACTAAAAATGTTATAATTTTTTTGTAAAAGCTATATGATATAATCGTCCGATCTGGCCCGTTCTGACATATATACGAGTGAGAGTATATAGAAGGCTAACTACAAAGTTTCATTCAAAAAGCTTTAAAACTGAGAGACTAGTTTGCGTAGAAACGGACAGATGGACAGACGGACAGACGGACATGGCTAGATCGACTCGGCTGTTGATCCTGATCAAGAATATATATACTTTATATAGTCGGAGGTGCCTCCTTCAGTGCGTTATAAACTTCTGACTGAAATTATAATACCATGCAAGGGTTTAAAAATGTACAAAAATGTATTATTAAAATTTATTTAAATAATACAATTAAAATCTTGTATGATATCAGTCTCTGATATTTATCTCTGGAAAATGTACATATAAAGCGAAGTTATTATTCATGAGCTTAATAAGTTTAAGTGTAACTTATTACTCTCACCTCGAAAAAAGAAAAATCCCACACACCAACTCTATCGTTGAACCATCTGTCGTGTAGTTTCGTGTGGGAAAACTTTGAAACATATCCCACGAAAATGTTTCAAATCGGATGTTACATTTGGGCTCTATTGGTCTTGTTGCTGCTGAAGGACCTGGAATTTTCGCAGGCCGAGCTGTACAACAAGCAGCTAACCATATTTGCCGAAGCGGGCCGCCAGGAGTGCTACCACCAACCGATTGCAGCTTCCGAGAACATACGAATCGATTACCAGGTGATACACGGCGGCCACGGCGAGCCGCACATCAACTTCAACCTGATGGATCCGGGTCGACGCCTCCTGATCACCGACGTCAAGCAGGAGAAGGGCAGACACAACCTGGTGGCTCGCGAAACGGGATCCTACAAGCTGTGCTTCGACAACACCATTAGTTCGTTCAACCAGAAGATCGTGGCCTTTATTCTGGAGGTGACTGCAGCGGACAAGGAGGAACAGGATCTTCGGCACCTGGGCAAGGAAATGCTCACCGATTACCAGTTCGATCTGGCCTATACCAGCATTGACAATTACATTGCCAAGATACGGGTTAACTTTCACAGATCGCGGCAAACTCAAGACTTCATACGCACCATCGAGGCCAGGGACCGCCATGTGGCCGAATGCAATTTCGAAAGGGTCAACGTTTGGTCTTTCGTGCAGCTATCGGCCATGGTTATTGTGGGCTGTATGCAGGTGATAATGCTGCGAAGTATTTTTAGTTTAAGCGGGAGATTCTATGAGTTTTGGAAACGCTTTTGAGCCTCAAAGAAAATCGATGCAACTAGTGAATTGACAAAAATTAAATCAACTAAAACAGGCGGGAATAAAATAAGCTGAATTTCTTGTTGTGTGAAAAAGACTTCTATTTACCTATTTGGAATTTATTTGATCCTGTGCTGTCCCCGCTCAACCCTAAAGTCAGAAGGAGGATCCTGAAGCTTGCTAGTTAACTGCTTCCTAATTTCACCTGTTTTCGCTTTACTCCCTGTCGGCGGCTTCCTTCTAATGCCAATTTGCACTTCCCTTGTTTAATTTCTCCTGCTTTTCCTGCTGCTCCTCTCTCCTTGTTCTTGCACTCACACCTATGCTGTGCCACGCCCCTTTTTTCTGTGTGGTCCGCCCAAACGCTGCAGTGCATTGTTGGCGTAATTAACAACTGCGGAGTTACCGTTCGCCATTGTTTACTTAGCGCCAGTGCCAGCGTCGCAGTGTTAATTACTCCCCGGCGTCCCGTCTTCGAGTACATATATATGACCCTTAACCCCAGCGAGTCCTGTGGGTCCTCCTGGGACTCCTACTGACACAGTGGCTCACTTAGCCTTCGAGCTTCCAGCTCCGAGCGAGCGAGTCCTTCCTTCTGGCTTCTGGGCGAGGCCAGCGGCGATAAGGTGGCAGGCGATGGCAGCGCTCCCCAACACCACCGAAAGGTACAAATTAAGGCGCCACCTGTGGCCCAGTGAAGAGCCACAACACCGGCAGGTGTGTGTGATTAAAATTGAGTGTACTTTAACAGCAGATTATGAAAAATTACACTATCTACCGCACAAAAATGGGTTGCAGAAAACTTAAAGAATTAAAAACGGAACCTGACACTTTAACTTGGTGGAAACATCCCGACTTTGGTTGACATGGATGCCTTAAAAAGGAAAACTGCCACCACAGTCCTGAAAACAAAAAACAGAAAACATGGCACATATGTGTCATGCTCACTTCTTGGTAATTAAACCCCCTTAACGGGCAGTTTTACTTAACACTTAAGTGGAGCTTTAAAGACAGACGGTCTCCTACGTCGGCGGGATCGTTTAAAATGGGGCACGGGCCCAGGGGAAAATGAAAAAGAAAAGCCGCTGTTAATTTCATTACACCGAATGCAGCAAAGGCGGCCTGTTAGCGGGACAATCGTAAAAAAGGACATTTTATTGCAGCTGCCAAACGATGCCGCCGCCGTCGTCGGCCATTTTAACGATCAAATTATGGGTGGAGAAGACGAGGTAAAGTTACAATTGCAGCCAGAAATCCCCCGCCAGATAATGTCCTGTCCATTTGGACCATGGCGCGCCAGCTGTCACCGTCCTTCAGCGCTTAAATCTCCCTTTGGTCGCTTAATGAGAAAAGAAGAGCCTCAAAATGAAATCGGGTGACAAATGTATTTAAAGTTCGTCCCCCTACCACGCTGAGGGCGCCAGTAGGGAAATGCTACCTGGAGCAGAAGTAAAAGATTATGGCTAAGTAATAGCTTTTTGACACAGATAAAATGTGTTTTCGCAAATTGAAAATCTAAATAAGGAAAAACCAGCAGTGCATGTATATGATTTCCAGGAGCTGGTCCTCGATTGACAAAATATTAATGGAAAAGTCAAATAAATGAAATTCAATAAACAAGTCGAAGCGGAGAGTACACAGCGAATAACAATAATTTAGATAAATGGAAGTGAATTTTAATGACTTATTAGTTATTATATTATTCTCTTTATATTAATATACTAATATTAAATAAAATGTATAGATAAATATATATTAGGAAGCCTTAAAGGAAATTATTTTAAATATGCGAATTAAAATGTTTTCTATATTCCTTTTTTACCATGTCGAAATAACACACAAACCAAAACGAGCATTAAATACTGGTTACTGATCGACCAGGGGGTCAAAAGGTAAAGTCTTAGTGTGCTGGACAAGCAATAAGCATATGAATATGTAAGAACACGATTCAGTTTAAGGCAGAGCTTGGCATATATTTGCGGAAAACAAAGGAATCACCAACACGAATTTTGGTAAGATTACGTTTCCAGGCAGATGACATTCAAAAGATGCAGGAACTAAAAGCTTTCACATGCATATTTTTGCCTCAGAGAAATATTTTGCAAAATCAGTTTGGAAAACTTTGCGGATTAAATCGTAATTTTGTTCCTTTGTTGAGTAACCATAGGTTTCTCTACTATTTTCCCGTTAAAGTAACTAAAGTTAAATTACCTAAAATTAAAATTTTATTAAATTCAAATAACAAAGGGGGAAAATTGTAATACAATTTTCATTACCAAAGGTTTTTGCTAAATTAATGGAGCAGATTCATATTCAATATAAGCGTAAAACATAAATAACATAAACGGTAACTGTATACAACCTTCCCTTCTAGTTTTATTCTATTTCAGGCAAAAAATTACGTATACGCAGAGTTGTAACCTTTGACAGTACCATAATTGCAGTCAGAAGCTTGTAACGCAGTAAAGGAGTCATTTCCGACCCTATAAATCATATATATTCTTGATCAGCATTAAAAGCCGAATCAATTTAGCCGTCTCCGGCAAAAAAATTTTTAAAATTTTTTTTCGACAGTTTTTAAGTGGCCAAAATTTGACAAATAGTTGGCCAAAATATTATTTTTTTATAAATTTAAATTAAGTATGCAGATTTATTAAGCAAACAAAAATTAACATAGGAACGCTTTCCGAATTCAAATTAATGCGTTTTTGGCTTAGTTATGAGTTTTTAAAGCATTAATTTGTTGTAAAATTTGCCATATATAAATATCAATACATATTGATTAAAAGAATGCGAAAATTGTATGCTTATTCGATACGACCCTATTTAATTTAATTGCAAACTGTAATTGTATACAACCTTCGACGTGTCGAAGTAAGCTCCATATATGGATTAAATTTTAATTTAGGTAAAAAATTACGTATACGCAGAGGTTTAACCTTTGACGGTACCATAATTGCAGTGAGAAGCTTGTAATGCAGTGAAGGAGTCATTTCCGACCCTATAAATTATATATATTCTTGATCAGGATCAACTGCCGAAACGATTAAGCTATGTCCCGATGAAATTAATTTTTTTAACATTCATTGTCAAAAGCTTGCAAAAAATTTGAATTTATTTTATTTTTAAATGAAGTATGCAGATATATTAGACTAAAAAAATATCATAGAAATATTTTTCTAATTAAAATTAATGCTTTTTTGGCTTAGTAATGAGTTTTTTAAGCATGGATTTATCTAAAAAATTGCCAAATAAACATATTTGTCAAGAAGTTATTAATTTTAAAAATAACTAAACATGGTATGCAGATTTATTAAACGAATAAAGCATGGACTAGACATGGTACGCCGACTCTAGCTTCTGCAATCGTACTTCTGCACCGCCCCTGACAGCATTACCTGCCCTCGGATATATCCGTTTCAAATATATTTAAGCAGCTAATTTGTGATTCCATTTAATCACAAAAGTTTCGTTGTGTCTTTTTCCACTCAGGCTGTGCTCCTCTCTTAACCTTTCATCTTGGAAGCAATCCCATTAAGAATGCAAGTTGTGCGCGCACACACGCCGACGAGCGGGGAAAAAAACAGAGGAGGCCAGACTTGTTCATTATGCATGACAACTGACATATCAAGACTTATAGCGGAAGCTGGCACGAACCCAAACACCCGAGACAGCTCTACACTACATTTCCATCTGCCGAAGCCGTATATTTTGTTTCTTATACTCTCGCAGGGTATTTTAATTCTAGGCAGACGATTGCCACGTAGTGAAGGAGTCATATAGCTGGAAGACGTTTTAATTGCAAACTGGCACACACACACAACGAACACTTTCGAGTTGCCGTGGCAGTCGCCTCTAATATTGCCTTTTGACCATGGCCATTAGGAGCGGCGGTCACCCTTCCATCTGCCATGGAATCAGGCGAGCAAATTGGGTTACTGCTCAACTGTCTGGTTAATGGCTACAATGACACAATTAATTGCATGTTGGCGGCCATTTCCAGCACTTGAGGGGGAGGTAGTTCCGGTCGGTCAGCTGCCTGCCAACATGAATTAAGTTTTGCGGCCAATGCTAAAAATAAATTACCCATTAGTTTGGTGACCCCTTGAAACGCTGCCACTGACGGGGAAATATAAAAACCCTCAAGGAAAATGACAGTTTAAATGGCATTGATGCTACCGCTGGCAAATTATGAAGTTTGTCTTGCATAGTGGGTTGAAAACTAAAAGTTTTTAGGAATATTTATATTTTAAAAACCTCTATTGAATTACATTCAACCATAATAGTATTAAATACATATCAAATGTTCTTAAATGGTATTTATGGGTTATATTATTACCTCAAAGGGCTCGAAAATTTTCAGCATTCTGAAGTGATATAATTATGGTTAATTTATATATACGTTGGTATATGTATATGTAACATTATTTTATCAACTTATTATAGAAAAGTAATCAATGCATATAAAAATCATACCAGGAGCGACCGTTTTTAAATATGCCTACACTTAATAATATCTGAAGGTTAAATATTAATGGAAAAACAAACTAAATATTTAAGGTTTAATTTAACTTTTCTGTGGAATGTGCTTTTGTGTTGCCTGCTATTAATGCTGTCACAGGAGGAGCCTCCCAAGGGGCGATATCTCACATTGTTCTGTGGACCCTTTTTCAACCGATCTGCCGGCGCCGGAATGTCCTGCCCCCGGTCAAAGCGTACTTCCTGCGATTGTGTTGTGTGTGTGTGTGTGTGTGAGAGTGTGCGATGCCGATGCAGAGCAGAACGCTTTAAAATGCACAAAAAAAAGCTTTCGCTCTTGGCTCTCCATTTCCATTACCAGTCGCCCAGTTTCTCGGTTTCTCTCCAAAAGGGAAACTTTGGCAGCAGAAGGCAGCTCATAACAATGAAACTTTGCACGCTTTGGCAATTATGTGAGTGGGCCAACACATATACACACTTACGCACACACACACACACTCCACACATCCTTTGGCGAAATTAACCCACTTTTTAGCCGTCCAATGTTTTCTTAGTTGTACCATTTCCATTTCACTTTATTGGCGAGTATTTTACTTATTCTCCGGGACTTTCTTTGCGGGTTTT